AGCAAGAATATAGAATTTGCTGGTGCCGCTAAAGGTTCGGTTATTTTTGTGGGTAGCTCTTCAAAAAAAGCTTCCTACTGTGGATAACTTTCATAAGAGAGGTTTCATAATTGTCAAGGTTTGTAGGCTATATTTGAGGAATAACGAAAGTGTGGACCATATTATTTTACATTGTCCTTTCATTCTAAGCATGTGGGATAGGTGTAGAAAGTTGTTGAATCTAAATATCATGACCCCTCAAAGCCCAGAGTTGATCCTCTCTCAATGGATGTACCTTGGTTTGTCGAAAATTGGCACCGTATTATGACGAGCTTTATGGGTGAGCACTATTTGGAATATTTGGAGAGAGAGAAATAGAAGAACATTTTAAGGGACACAAAGTGAAATTGAAGTTTTGAAGTCCAACACCTTAGCAATAGCAGCTGAATGGTTTTCAATAAACAAGGATTGTAAGTTTATCCCAAAATCTCAGATTTTTGAGAATCCATCTGAAGCTGCTAAGCTTAATAATGACAGACATACTCAAAATGCTATTTGGATATCTCCTCATAAAAATTGCTTAAAACTCAACTTTGATGGAAGCTCGATTGGAAACCCAAGCCCAGCAAATTATGGTGGTGCCATTAGAGATCACATGGGTAATTACAAATTCACATACTCGGGACCATGTGGAGATACAACAGTGAATGAAGCTGAGCAAGAGCTCTTTTGGAGGGATTAAAGATAATAAACAACCTCGAGGGCCAAAAGACAATTGAAGGTGATTCAAGCAATGTCATTGCTTGGGCAAAAGGAGAAATGAAGCCACCTTGGAGATTATGCAGCATTTTCGATGAAATCTTTTTCATTTTAAGTAGTGGTTCTTTTGAGTTATCTCTTTGTTTTAGGAAGGCTAATATGGAAGTTGATGCTTTAGCAAAGCGTGGTGTGCACCAACATTCATTGGTGGTTACATCCTTTTCTTCTTGAACCTCCTTGTAATCGTTCGTGGGTGAATGAAATTCATAGTAACTAATTTCAAAAAAGCGAAATCGGTGGAAATACAACATTCCCCCCAGTTGTAATGTTCTCTCCATAATACCCCTTGTGGAGAAGTCTCTTGTACCCGCTACCCTAGCGAATTTGATTTCTGTCTTTCCCAAAGACCACTTTTCACTTTTTCAGTACTATTCCAAACAAAAATACCCTTGTAACACGAAATTCAAAATTAAATTTCCCATTGTTCTCTCTCTCTGTAAAACTCCTCTCTGAACTCTTCTCTCCCCCACTTTCTCTCTCCCCTTCTCTGTTTCACCTGTCTTTTCCTGTCTAAAACTCCTCTCTACCCTGTCTCTCTCTGAACTCTGTCTCTCCCACTCTCTCTCTACCCCATCTCTCTCTAATACTCTCTCTCTCTCTAAACGTCCCCATCGCCATATAGGGTTTTCAGAAGTTGGGGATCTCTCCAAAGGTATATTCTTTACGACTTTTTGTCTGATTACTCTGTTGTGTATGATTTATGACATGCAAGCACAATACAAATGGTTATTAAGAGTAAGCACAATACAAATGGTTATTAAGAGTAAGCACAATACAAATGGTTATTAAGAGTAAGCACAATAGAAATGGTTATTAAACAGTTACCGTATTTTCTATCTAGTTGGGCCCCATATTTTCTGCTGAATCTTTTGTGCTGTGGCTTTATATGTTCTGTATCAAAGCAAAAGCTTACTTGGGTACTACTTTAAACATATTGTTGCAATTGTTGGGTTTGATCTTGCTTCATGTTTAATGGAATGTGGAATTACAACTTGGGACATTTTGAATTTGACCAAACTTTTGTTGATTTTTGGTCTTCCCAAAGTTGTCATTTGTTTGTGCTATCATTTTAAGTGCCTATATGGATAGCTTTGTGTTTTGGAATAGTGAGTTCATAAACTCAGATGAACCCATTACAAAATACTAGAATCTATTTATCAAAATTTTCAGGTGCAAGTTCAAGAACTTTCAATTACAATTTCTGGAATTTGTACTTACCTGAGTTAATTTCAGCAGCTTATTTTTTGACAGTCTTACTGTTCAGTTTTTTAACTCCTTTATGGCAGCTTACATTCCACAACTTGTCTTGCTTGTTTTGGGTACTGTCCCAACTTTGTCTTGCTTTTTCTTTTTTGGGTATTGTCCCAAGGATGCATACTTTTTAAATTCTAGCCCTTCATCTATTTAAAATTAAATGTTTTACTCTACCCCTTAATTTTATACAGCTAAAAAAAATTAAATAAACAAAAATCATAAATCTAAACCTAATTTCAGTATGTAAAAAATAAGTAATTTAGAGTCAGATCTATCAATTTTGATGATTTATTCATAATATATTGCTCCTTTTAATCCCCCCTTTTTTGGTTACTTTAAACTTATGGTTGGCATTGCAGAGCAACCTTTTTGTCTTCTGCTCTTCATATTCATGCAACTTCTCATTTTATTTGATGCTGTTAGTATTGCTTATTGGATATTATTATTTATTAATTATGATGGAAAGATGTGTTCTTGCTCCACTCATAATGGTTTCCTCCTTGCTGGTTATAAGTTTTTTTCTTTTTTCGCCCTTATTTGTATCCTGCTTTCTTTCCATTTTTTTATTTCCATTGATACGTAGCTTTGCAATGACTTTTTACTCATGGTTTGTGTTCTTGGATTCTGTTGTGTATCTAAAATTTTGCTATGTTCTGTTTTTTGTTTAAGGGCCCATTTAGCTCCTTGAAAAAAATTCTTGAAAATGATTTCTATGACTTGTGGATGATTCATATTTTTTATCCGAATATTAACCTCTTTGGTGAGCATCTATATGAAACCCTGAAATTATATTTTCATTGCTTTGCTCAAACATTTTGGCTGTAAACAGGAAATTTATTTCCAAGAAATATATAATTAGGATATTACTTTTTTATTACAAATTATACAACCAATATGAAAACCAATGTCATAAATTGAATTTCTAATTCTATTTCGAGCAAAATATCTTTTTTCATCTCCCAAGAAAATAGGAAAACACCGAAGTATCATTAGAAAAAATAGAGGGGGTTAATATGATCCACCATCCAATTTTCTCTCTCCCCCTTGCTGACCCTGCTTCTCTCACCAACACCCTGTTTTTCCAGGATCTCTATTAAACCCTAGCTTATGATTTTTATTTTCAACCATAAAATCAATCGATTCCTCGAAAACAAGACAGAATACAAATTTCAATGGGTAATTAACTGATGTTTCTCTGCAATTTTCTGAGAAAGACCCTAGAATCCTTTGATTCTGATTTGGTGAAACCCTAATTTGAAATGGTTGTTTCTTTTGAACTACAAAGGATTGGTACAATGTATAAAATCCAACTACCTGTTCATATGATGGATTCTCCATTGAGAATCGAGGTACTTATCAAATAGGTTTTTGTTTTCTTGTTCCTGTAGTTCAATTTGTTTCACTACATCACTTCGATTTTATTTTTATTTTTTTTTTGGGGGGGGTGGGTTTAATGGACTGAATTCGTGTTTTGTTCCAGAGAAAGGGGCTCATTTTAGAGGGATAAACTTGTTTCAAGCAGAGAGAGGCTTGTTTGAGAGAGAGAAATATGTTTGGGAGGTTTTAGAGAGAGTGACTCATTTTAGAAAGAGACACTCCTTCTGGAATGAAAAACTGGTTTGAGAGAGAGAGAGACAGACAGACAGACAGGCAGACAGGGAGACTTGTTTTAGAGAGCGAAAGTCATTTTCCTAACTGCAAATGCCAATGCCTTTTCTTGAGAGAGAGACGTGCTGTTTTCTTTGCTGTAGAGAGACGTTTTCATGGAATTTCATTTATTGATAAGGTTCTCAGGGTGAAGAAATATTTCCTGAAAATGAGGCAAAAATGGGGATAATGGGGAGATTTATTTTGGGTTCCAATTCCATGAAATAGATCTCCTGGAAATTAATTTACAAGAACTTAAATGGGCTCAAGTGTATGACTTGGGTGATAAATGTTTTCCGCTTAGATTTGCTGAATTCATTTGAATTTTATGACTTTACCGTTTTTGCTGTAATGGGTGTGCCTTAAAAACCAGTTCTGTGGGCTTCTCAATTCTTTTATATGTGGTTTACAATTGCAGATATTTGGGCCAATGATTTGTAGCATCTGAAATCAGCTGATTATGATCTGAATATTTTTTTGAAATTGGATGGAGATTGTCTATAATTTGAAATGAAAAAGAACTTACTTTAGTTCTGGAAAATGTTCATGCCTTAATTATTAAAAGTATTTCTTTTACTAGATTAAATGATTGTTCAGCCTTAATTCTTTTTAGAACTTACATGAAAAGTTTTATCCTTTGGATTGGAATTCAAATAGAAGTTTGAATTGTTGTGTTTTCTCCATTGGTCCCCACATTTTAACCAAAACCTTTAACCTTTTTATTCTAGTTGTTATGTTGGGATGTTGGGTGGGATATAGACAGTAGATGTCTTCGTTAAATTTTGATGAATAAGAGGTAACCTGGAAGTACCTGCTTGTGATGTTGCGAATTTGAGTTTTTATGCCTTTGGGGAAAACTAATCCCTTAAGGCTCATACACGAGACTTAGGGTTAAATGATCTTAGTGCCTTTCCATTTGTGTAAGAGGTCATAAAGATATATACAACATGCATAACTACAATGCATGTGCTGTATGAAATTTTATCATATTGAGATGACTTAAGCTGGGATATTTCTTATATATTGGGTTACATCTCTGATTTTATTAGTATGCAGTCATAAAAGATATGCAGAACATGCATAATTACAATGCATTTATGGTATCAAATTTCATCATATTGAGTTGACATAAGCTGGATATTTTTCATATGTTTTATTGCATTTGGGATTTTGGCAGTATGCCCTTCCAACAGAGGTTAGGTCAACTTTCTAATATATTTGCGTCAGAATATGATTGTGAGCTGGTGTATATGTGGTACAATATTAAGAAATGTTCCCTAAACATTTGTTTTCCAATACAGAAGGGTACTCCTACCACTGGTGATGGATTGCCAGATCAAGTTTCTACTTTCTAGATATCCAGTCCAATCAAGAGTCCTCCCTTCTCTAGATTTCTAGGCATACGACAACCTCATCTACTAAAATTATATTTATGATTCATATTTTGCATCTCCTTTTATGTGCTAGTTCTCTCAAAGTCGGCTACCACCTGCTTAAGTTGGAAAAGCGAAAGTGCCTTATACCTTTGTTCGACACTCTCTTCCATGTGCAGGTAGTTCCTTCCAGCCATGGTTAGTTCTGCAGTTTAACAAGCACTTGGAACTTCTACTTCGCCTATTTAAGAAGGCGATGAGAATTTTCTCTTTATTTTCTTCATTGCCATTATAACAGAATTTACAACCGAATGCACAGAAGGCCTATTTGATACCCAAAAAATGTTTTGCTGTGGTATATAAGCAGAGTCTTGGTGCTTGTATTTGAATGGAATATTATATGGAAGAAAACCCTGCTCACAACTTATGGTCTTTATGGCTCCACCCCTTTTTGTGTTTCACGTGGTTACATCCATGATTAATATTTATTTGATAATGAAAGATATTATTTTTCTGAACTTATGAACATTGGCTGCAGCGTTTCAGTTGATTGTATAATATTTGTAAGAATTCCTTATATGCCCTTGAGATTATTTTTCTAAACTTCTTACGAGCATTGGCTGCATTGTTTCAGTTGATTGCATAATATTTGTAAAAAATTCCTTATAAACCCTTTTGTTATTTTATGCAGTTAATTCCAGGAAAATCTCCTAGCACAAGCACAAATTACATGTTCTCTAGCAAGGAGAGGTCAAAGTTTTTCAAATTCTTCTAGGACACTTCATATTAAATATTTATGTATTCAACCTAATACAACACCAATTAAGGGGAGCAAATTTGGCTCAAGTGAAAGGCTCTAAAAAGGGCAAGAGGAAGGCCCAAAAGGACATGGATGGAAGTAGTGAGAAGAGACATGGTGACTTATGGTAGGACTGAAGGTATGATCCTCGATAGAGCAGAACAATGGAACAAGATTCGTGTAGCTGACCCCAAATAGCTGGGATAAGGCACTGATGATAATGATAATAGAAAGGTTTCCAATTTATGAATTGATTTCTGTCTTCCGGTTTAAGATTGTCAATTTCTAAGATTTGCGCAGCTAGCTTCCCTTATTATTTATGAAATATAAGAAAAATAAAAATTCCATTGTTCCATGCTTGCAATGGAACCAAGATGGAAGGGAAAAGGTTCGGCAGGAGTTGCTTCCTCTAATCCCATGTCCAAAATAATTACACAGCTACAATCCTCTTTATTACTCTCAAGACCCCATGCATTACTCAATGGTTCATCTGTGCTCCTTGAAGTTGGATCCGAGCAAACTGACCTGCTAAACCATGCATGTTTTGGTCGGCCTGTCATCACCACTCTCAAGGATAAGCAGTGGTTCCAACTGGGTTTTGAGGAAGCCTTCTATCTCATCCATTCCCTCAAATGCCTTTCAGTGCCTTGCGGGTCGGTTAGCTTGACCTCTGAAGAGTTGTGGAAATACATGATATCAAAGAAAAAGTTGTTTCCAAGGTTGTACAAGGCTTACTCTCATCTCAGGTCAAAGAATTGGGTAGTGCGCCAGGGTTCACAATATGGTACTGATTTTGTGGCCTACCGCCACCACCCTGCCCTTGTTCATTCAGAGTATGCAGTTCTTGTTCTATCAGAGAAGGATCAAGATCAAGGGCCATCTCGTCTAAGGGTCTGGTCAGATTGGCACTCTATTGTCAGGGTTTGCGGGAGTATTGCTAAGACATTGTTGGTTTTAGATGTTGATATCTCTGGGGCTGATGAAAGCTCACCCAGTTGTCTTGAAAGATTTTGTGTGAGTGAGTACAAAATCGCAAGGTGGGTTCCAGAGCAGCACCGGGAGGATCACGTGCCTGTGAAAGAGGAAGCAAAGTAAGAATTTTAATGTTCACTTAGCTTTAAAAAAAGTACTCAAGTTCAAATATTAGTTTGTTAGGCAGTATCCTTGTGTGTCTCCCTAATGCCTCTTTAAGACACTGGATGGATTCTGCAACTGACTGATGAGAACCTTGAGCTGAGATTACAGTGTTTTCATGTGCTATATATATTGATTTTTTAGTTACTTTCACAAATTTTTATCCATGGAAATTGGCGAGAGATTTCTTGAGTTTCTTGCTGTGCTTTTTAGGCTGGGAACTCACTTTACAGGAAAAAACGAGTTTCTGTTGTACTGTTGTTCTATTCTTGGCCTTTTCACAACATTTTTTTAGCTGATTTTTTCTTCCTTCAAGCATTAACTACTCAAAAATCAAAGAAGTGGGGGAAGTAAATGTATTCTGTGAATAGGCTCAAATACTCATTTTAAAGGATTTTGAGTTTCTTTGTTGCTACATGGCAGAAACAGCTTTCTGCAGGGCCTATTAAGTTGGTCGAGTCAAAATAAATGCATTTCATCATCTATTCCGTGAAGTCTGTGGGATATGCTACTTATGGTGGTACATAGCACTTTTTTGCTCGTAGGATGTGATGAATTTTGCAATTTAAACTATAGGGTGTGATTTCTATAAGGTTGCAACCTTAAACAATCCAATTAAGGCACGTCTCTAAATTTTATCATAACATGTAATTTTGGTAAAAATCAAATAGATCTTTAAACATATGAAAATTTTGAAAATGGGCGGTCTAGATAATGTGTTGCAAGATGAACAGTTTTTGGGATTCGAAATCTTTCTTTTTTTTTTTTCATATTCATACATCTCGATGTCGAGATGATCAATTAAAAGGTTTTTCAACATTAAAACAACCTTTTTCTATGGATGTTTGAGGTGTATGTTTAATTCTACATTTTAAGGTTGCAACTTTATATAAACTTTTTCCTAAACTATAGGGATTCATGTATATCTTAGTGTATATATATATAGCCCTGTGTGCGTGCTCGCGCGCGAATAAATCAGCAGTTCTTTTTTTGGATGGGTTGTCTTGATTTGCAGGAGGGATGATAATATTTAAGAGTAAGAACACTGCTACTCATGGTTTCAACTACTTTCTTGCAAAACAATGAAAACCATTCGTATTGGACTATTTCAGGATTTGATGATTTCTTGATGATTTGGTGGTATACAAAATGTCCAGGTTTTCACCTCTCTTGAGAATGATTTATAGTTCTATTTCAATTTGGCCCATCTAAACATCGATAAAACAAATGAAACACAATATAATGTAATAAAATTGGGACTGCATGAATCATGCATGATGTATGGCGCCCCATACGATGAGTGATTTAACTCTTTAGCGCAAAGACTTATTGATGCAAATGAAAATCATTTCTGCAATTTTGTTTTTATTTTTATTTTTGGGTTGTTCCAATCCTAGACCAACGGGTGGAGGTGCACAAAAGACTCATCCTGAACTTTGACGACAAAACAATTTCAGACAATTATAACTGCTTGATGAAATTTGGATGGTGATGAGTCATGAAGTATTGTAGAAATTTGCCTTTTTTTCTCACTTTAGCTTTTTATTATTTATTAGTGTTTACTTATCTTTCCATTTCACATATAACCATTTACAAAAGGACATGGTTAGCATCCGCCCAAGCCCGCACATGTACAAATGTGGGCTTGGCAATAAATATATGTTTATAATATAATGATTCTAATTTTTAGACAATATATAATCTTTAACATGAATATGAATAAATAAATAAATTTTGAAAAATACAAATAATAATTATATTAAAAAAACCTTTAGACAGCCAGTTATTAGATGGACCACCCTTTGATGCTTTATACCTCTGGACAGCATATTGTACAAATGCGGTCCAGCCCGCCATGAAACATTTGTTCTTAATGTACGTCCCTCTAAAAAGGTCCAAAAACGAAACATAAGAAGAATCCCTATACATGAACTTCACAAAAATTTCAAGCTGACACTCTTACCCTTACAATTAACAAGCCTGGTTAGTAACCCCATTGTTGGCGAGCAGGTCAGCCTCATTCTTGATTAAAATATATTGTCAGTTCACTCCTCCGGGTGAACAGCTATTTCGGAGGATTTTTTTATCTGAAAATTTGAGATCGATTAAAGAATATCATTAATTTTTATAACAATTTAGATTTGGATGCAGTTTATAGGGTGTCAACCTTAACATGATCTAAAATTCTGAAATTTTGAAAGCAAGGCGTATCCCAAATCTTACTAGAAGGTACCATTTTGGCGCTTAAAATCCATATTTGGTGCCTAAAATCCATACGATGATCTAAATTCTATTTCTACCCCTAATTATGAAATTCAAAACTGCAAAAATGGCACACAAATTGAATAGATGTATAAACATTTAAAAATCTTGAAAACAATTCAAATAATGTGCACATAATGTACCAATTTTCAAAGTCAAAACTTTCTTTTTCATTTTTTGTCGTACACGTCTAGATCAAGATGATCAATTAGAGCACTTTTGGTATCAAGACAACCTCTCATGGGGTTATGAAAGTGCGCCTTACTTCTACAATATGAGATTAGCACCATGCACTAACTTTTTCCTTTAGGTTTTGAATTCGTTGGCACCTAGATTTAATTGTCCCAAAACTGGACGATCCACGTCCATTTTTTTGGATGTTATATTTACAAGCTTGTAAAAAGTTCGGATAGATGTAGTGAGAACAGATATAGCAGCTTATAATCTAATATGACCTTCAATAGAACAGAATGAGGGAAGAAAGTTCATTTCACCTAACCTCAAATAGTTAAAATATAACTCGAGTGATGATGATAATGATAATGATTATTTTGTTTCAGGAGTACAAATAGTACATTCTAAATTTCTGTTTCTTCTTAAACTGAATCGTGAAGTTAAAGATGATATTCATCCAAAAATTGGAATCCTCTAGATACTCTCATATTAAGCTTAGGATTGTCTACAAAGAACCATTTATCTTTTGTACATGGAGATCACAATCACTGTTGTCCGTTAAATTTCAAAATAAGTGATTGTAAAAGTATCATTGAATAAATACAAAGTTTCAAAGAAAAAATTCTCCTATATATATAAATAGGCCGCTACATACACAGATTGAGAAATACAATATTTTCATTTGATGTTCAGGATTTCTTATGCAATATTTGCACAAAAATATGGGGTCCAAGAAAACAAAACCACATACCAAAGAAGAAACAGAGGAGATCAACTAATTCAAAACCTGCAAATGGGTGCAAGACGTTTATTTCCACCTTCACCCAAAATGGATTATACAATTTGGAACAAGGGACAACCCTGATTTCATTTTCCTTTTCTTTTTTATTTTTTTAAAAACAAAAAGCAAAAATGTTTCTTTTATAGTACAATTAATACAACTTCCTGCTGGTCACTCTTGGCCCTTCAGCAACCGTGGAAGACCCAGCGAATGCATTGGCAGGCAAAAACAACAGGACATCCCTTCTCTGTCGCTGTCACATTTACAGTTTGAGCCTCATGCCATCTAAAAAAATATGCACCAAAAATTCAAATTGAAGGTGTCACCAGAGACTGAAAATATAATGATAACAATATAACAAAGCAGCAACAATAGTAAATAAAAAATACGTCTGCATTCAGACTATTTATCTGTGGTACAAGGTGGTTAGAATTAATCTTTGACCATTGAATATTGAATTGGGTGGTTGTACTTATTCTATTGACCAAGCTCAAAATTCAAAAGAAATTTTTCGAATTTTGTGACACCAAAGCTATCAGATTTCAAATCAGATGACTATAAGTAATTGTGACATCCTTGTACTAAAAGTAAATGATCTCATTGTATACAATCCCATAAAAAATATTAATAATACGAATAAGAGGAAGATAGCGCATAGGGGGAAGCATACTGTAATCCAGTGGACTATGATTTTCCATAGTCCAGCAGGCTACTCACCACCCAATGAATAGATGGATGATAATAAGAACAGAAACAGGACTTCCGTCACAGCCATCAATTCATTGGATGGTGATGACCCAAATGAACTATGATTTTCCAGTCTTACATGTAGTATACTTTCCCAGAAAAACAAAGAGTAATCCCTAGTGCCGGCTTATACAAGCTGGGAACGGCAGAAAAGAGTGATACAGATATACAGATGAGAGGCTTCTAAACTGGGGGCAAGGGGCGGCGGCAAGTTGGGCATTCCATCTTTATATCCATCCATCTTTGTAAGCAACCAGAATGGAAGAAGTGATCACATGGAGTTACCTGTCGCAAAAATGCACGAGGTCTCAAAATGCTGCTTTTTAACAATTTATTAAAGGAAATTGATAAGTAAATTACAATAGCGATAAGTCCCGTAGTACCAAATGGACTATCGAAAACATTTTCCCAACCCCATCCAATGAAATGATGGGAGAATAATGCACTGAGTAGGAAGCACCATTTAGTCATATCCTATTCTGATGGATCCAGGTCTCAATACTGCCCATCATTTTATGGGATGATCATGAACCCAATGTTCCACCATCCATGTCATTATAATAAAGCTGCCCTGAAAAGAAACCCCAAAAGCAAACCAACAGAAAAGAAAGAAAAATGCAGATGTGAGTTTAACTATTCATACCATACATTCATTTGATCTCTGCACTACATCAATGGAGGTCATGCAGATCACACAATCTACGGCATTAATATTGTTCTCAAACCTTCTATAGTAGCTGTACTTCTCCGGTAGGATCTATAAATCATTTGAGGGATCAGTCATAATATAGAAAAATGCAAATGTATAATTCTTTGTATATCCAATAACTTCAATAGGATCTGACAAAAGAAGTACAAATTTCCATAAAATACCTAGAAACTACTATGGAACTGAAACCATTACAATATGTGGGAAGCTACAATATCGATATGAAACATAATTCTAGTACCCAAAAATTTAGTATTTCAATGATCCAAAAAATAAAAAAATAATTTCCAATATTCCAAGCATCTGCAGCATGGAAACCATTTGGTTGAATCTTTCAGAAGAGTTTGAGAGCATAGAAGATAGACAGAACACACCATCTTGTTGCCCACATGTAGAAGTTGTTAGATATGAGTCTCAAAAGAGTTCAAGAGCATAGGAGATGAACAGAAAACACCGTCTTGTCGACTACATGTATAAGTTGTTAAACATGTATTTCTTCTTGAAGATGTCCATGTCCAAAGAGCAACTTTACTTGGTGAACAAAGAGTCACTCAGTAGACACTACTCCTCTCTCTCTCTCTGTGTACGGGTGGTTGTTGGGGAGGGGGATTGTGCATATTATGCTAAGCACATGTTTATACAGATATGATTTAGTAAATGTCTAGTTGTATAATTCTATTTTAGTAGTTCATATTCTTTCTTATTCTGTAGTTGAGTAATTCTACTACAACCAGACATTTTTTACTAGTTATATTAAAAGACTTCCATTTAGGGCTTTTTCAACATCTCTTGTGCATATACATTTATGTTTTGAGTTATTCGGTCAGTCCACAATGAGAATCAATTTTACATGATCTGCTTCAATTGAACGGCATACTGCTTTTCAAGATGCATATTAGAAATGGTGACGATTTTGTTTCTAAATTGGACAGGAACACAATTCTCCATTTCCAACATTGGTGTTTTCTCTATATGTAACTCACTTCTCAGTGATTTCATCTATTATTCCCATAACTTCTCAGTGTTTTCTGATCCATGTGGGTTTTCCATTAGTATCCATGCATTTCTCATTCTCTACATCATGTGTTTCTAAACCATCTCATTTTTTATGATCAATTTTGTTTACCACCCACTTCGTCTACAACTGCGGGCATATTACATTTAGTGATGCATCTTGAGACGCATTTGTGATTCATCATCATCATTATCATCAAAGCCTTTTCCCAACTAATTGGGATCAGCTACATGAATCCTAGTTCACCATTCTGCTCTATTAAGGGTCATGCTCTCATTGAAGTCATAAGTCCCCATATTTTTTCTCACTACTTCCAACCATGTCCTTTTCGGCCTACCCCATGCCCTTTTTGAGCCTTCCACTTGAACTAACTCGTACCACCTAACAAGTTCTATACGGAGTCTGTGCCACACATGGCCAGCTACCTAAGTCTACTTTCTCTCATCTTATCGTCTATTGGTGCCACACCTAAATTCTCCTGAATGTACTCATTTTGAATTCTATCCCTTTTTGTCTTGTCACTCATCCATCTCAACATCCTCATGTCATCTACGCTCATTCTATGGGTATGTTGTGTTTTGATCTCCCAAACATTCCACCCCATAAGGTAGAGCTAGTCTCACAGTTATCCTATAGAACTTGTCCTTCAGCTTCATTGGAATGCGGCGATCACATAAAACTCCAGTTACACATCTTCACTTCGCCCACCCAGCTCTAATTCTATGTGCGACATCTTCCTCAATCTCTCCATTTTCCTGGATTATACCCAAGCATTTCTGAGCACCATAGAACTTCCAAGAGATAGTAATTTGGATAAGGATCCAGTTTCTATGGGGCCAAGCCCGCATACACAGAAATGCGGGCTTACTAATAAATC